TGAGTGGAGGAAGCTCGGGCGGCCTTATGTCTAGTAAAACCATGGCAGCGGCGGGAATTAGTTCCAAAATCCTGTACATTTTCAACAAGAGATTCACAAATTGGTGTTTTTTTCCCTCGGCGAGATCATGGACTACGTTCAAGTTTGAATTAAAGCGCTAAGTTGACAGTCTTCCCAAAATTGGGTGTTACCCGCCACCTGAACATTTCCTGGAAATGGTGCTGTTACCCTGAGGCAGAGTTTGGTACCCAAGGACGAAGGTGTGAGGTCGAACAGCACTGTCCCCGCGGGCCGCGTCACACACAGGACTGGGGAAGTATGGGAAAGACGGATCCCCAAACCATCCTAACGGCGAGGATGGATATTGATCATCTCTGAGCGCTGAACGTTAACGCCGAACTCCGAAAAGCTCGCGCGGGATTTGGGAAACTATGGGAAAGTGATGGTGGATGTAAATAAGAATCAGGATGCTACAGCCAAATAAGAGCAACGCCAGCTCAAGCGCACTGCCACTGCTATAACTTTACTATCACTCCATCCACCCTCTTCCTCAGCGATGGCCAGTCCTTTGCATTTACAGGAACTACTAGACCACTGCATCGGTTTTCTCCACAATTCCACGGCAGATTTGACTGCGGCCGCCCTCGTTGCCCGAACCTGGGTGTCTCCTGCCCAGTCTCACCTGTATTATGAGGTCGTTCGCTATCGCCGGGAGATTCGGTACAAGCACGAGAACACATGGTCACAGCTCCTTCGGACGCTGCACACGTCCCCGCACCTCATTCGGCACATCCGACGACTTTGCGTTCGACCACCACCCCAGCTCACGCGTGAAACCTTCTCGAAAATCTCCCTCTTACCATTTTCGCACCTGGAGGACGTCAAAATTTTATCATGCGCCCTGGTACCACCATCCGCTGTAGCGATACAACAGCTGTTGAGCATGCCCACTCTCCGCCACGTGTCCCTTTTCTGGGAGTTCGACGACCATGCGACTTTCCTGCAAGTCTGGGACCGCTGCTCTCGGAGTATCAGGTCCATCTCATTGGATAGCTCGCAGGGGCTACGCCAGGCCCGTGATCCCTTCAATCCTGTCGTACGACAATCTGCCGCGCCCATTACCTTGGAATTCTTCCGCGTCGGGTACATCAATGGCATTGTTCCAGATTGGCTGCAACACGAGACTTGCCCCTTCGAATTCTCTGGTCTGAAGGTGCTGGCTGTCTACAGGTACCCAGAGATGCTTGATTGGCCAAGATTCGCACCAGCCTCTCAGTCGGTTGAAGCCCTCGCCATCGAAGTTGAGCTGTCTCACCACTGCTGAGTCAGGTGCTCACCATTCCTCCAGATCCCCAGGGGCCAAATATCAATCGACCTCTCTGGTTTCCCGAAACTGACCTTCCTCCGCATAAGTCTGCGTGATGTACCGTTAGACCAGTTACTCGATGCCTTCCTAACGGTTTCACCTTTCAATCACCTGAGAAAATTGGTTATATGTGTTGAGTTCGAATTTAAAGGGGACTATACAGCCCTGGACTCCGTCCTCTCACAACTCCTCGTGGCCGTTGAGTTTCAGTGCATTATCCCCAAGTATTATCCCGACCTCGCCAAGCATTTCCCTCAATCGAGCGCCAGGAATATTGTACGCCTCTCCCCTTCCTCCTTTGATTCCTCAGCTCACGCGGACATCACAGCTCCGCCAAACTGCATACGACCCTTACTGGTTCGAGGCACGATACGTTCCACCATCTACCCTCCCCCATCTGACGCGCCCCACAGCACCACATCACCAGCGTATATTCACCAGATGTGTATCCGTTGTGGAGCGCAGAGAGATAGAGGCTTTGACCGTTTGCGAAGAGTTGGTGGAGATGGAGGTGAACATAGTTCCTGTGCTGTCATGTGAGTAGAAATGAAAGTTTGAAGACGGCCAATGTCTTTAGGCTATATCTGAACTGAACTGAATTTCGAATTCTTTTGTGGGTACCTGGGATTTTCTGGATGTTCGTCAGAACTTTGTCGTCCATTGCGGGGATTGTGCCCTGAAGAGCCGTGAAGACGGTCTTTTTCGCGAGGGCTGTGACGACATAGGGCCATTGACAGATTCTGGTGAGGGTGGGGATGATTTCCTCAGTACATCAGGACTATTCCGGCGGAGTGACTACAGAGGCAGCAGCCAGAGAGACACGAATTTAATTATGAAGTTGCCTTGCGACGATACAATAAGACATTGAGAAAGAGGGCTACCATGTTCACACAACCCCTCCATTTTCAAAGCAATCAATGTCTGAACAGCACAAGGTTCTCACTGATAAAATCGATCTGCTCCGCACGGTAGTCGTCCTTCAAATCATAACTCATCAACCTCGGTCCTAACCGAAAAAACACTATAATAAACGAACCGGAATGACAGCCACATTCGCGCTATGGAGTTGGAGCAGCCCATCCTTGTACTCCGGCCAATTCGGACCTGAAATTCGTTCACGTTCATGTATATGATGAATGCTCAGTATGCAGTAAAGCCATGGTAAGGTAATGGTGAACTCACCCCCTAAGTACGGCGGAAACGCCGGAGGGGCTGGATCGGTGAACAGGTATGCGAACGTTTTGAGGCCGCTTGACTCGCAACCTGGGACCACGCGCGTCGCTGGGATTGGAACCACAGGTCTTCGGCTGTGGGGATGGTTAGCATAAACATCCAACCGTGACGCCAATGCCTCAATCGAATCGAGGGGAAGCAAGGAGGAACGTCAACGCACTGATCGCTGCCAGACGTTTGAATTCGCTATCGAGCCCGAACGTGTCGTCCCCAGTCGAGAATGGCGACCCCAAAGATGGGATACCGGGATATAGCTCGAGTAGTTGAGCTGCTGCTTCCCCCAGATGGATATCCGGTGTGGATAATAGAGAGTAGTTCAAAATGATAGAGGCTTTGACCATTTGCAAAGAGTTGGTGGAGAGGGAGGTAAATGTTGTTCCTGGGATGTCAAGTAACATGTGAGGAGAAGCATCAGTATAAATCCTGCTTAGGTTAGGTGAATGGTTTAAGCGTCTCAGCATAAAAAAGTGTAAACCGGGTTGAACGAGTTTAAACCAGTTAATTCATGTAAACTACGGGTTAGCTGGGTATGAAAGCGTGTACATGCTAGTAGCGCCAACTATAGTTAAACCGATTTGAACCATTAAACAAAGTTAAATGATTTAAACCCAATTGAAATATTGACCCAGATTGAACCATTAAACACGATTAAACTGTTGAACCGAATCAAACCTGGTTTAAGCTTGTTAGGGCGCGGCTAGGCGGCTCAAACTATCGAGTAGAGAAAAAGAACATACATATTCTCAATGTATTTAATGGCTGAATGAAGGCATTTGGCTGTATGGCCGTCATCAAGGCCCACCACGGGATCACAACTTCCTAGGGCCAAAGTGTGGGCAAAGAATATGTGGCCTGGACGGTACATGCATGAGACAATCGCCAGTCTTAAAACTCGCGCTGCATGCGTGCCACAACACAAGTGCCCGATAGCGACTGTCACAAAGATCAGTAAATTTTTCTCTTGACGGAAGCGAATGCCTGTCGTGCATACTCAGATCAGTGTGTCAGAAATGCAGCGGGAGTACGTACTCCTGATTTCTATATGCCACCACTCAGTGGCCGAGCTGAGCTGGCTATACAGTCAGGGCTGGGATTCAAACAAACTGTACAATAACTTGAGGTTGTTTGAATGACCAGAAATGAAGGGATACGAGGGAGAGGGAGGTGGGAGGAAGTGGCGGCACTGACCCTGGTGGGGGGAGGAAAGATTCTGTGACATTATGTACAATGCCGACTCTTTGTTGTCTTTGTTGCTTGTCACAAGCGGTCAACAACTTGAAGCGGTGGCACGCGTGATCCCAGTTACCAGTGTGACTCCGGGCTTTCTACTTTGCCACCGTCTCGAGTATCCGCCTATGCCTATGTCTTTCACCTCTTGTCGAGAGTTAAATTTTCGGCTTGCAAGCCCGTTTGATGGCTTGGCAAGCCCGGTTGCTCGGTTAACTCCAGTCAAAAAAAAAAAAACGGGCTTGCACATATTCCTCGCGTTCCGGAAAGTTTATATTCAATTCTACCAGCCACAATGCACGTACAAGTGGTTTATTTCATGGGCTTGGCATTTTTCTCACACTTTTGGTTGCTGATGTGATAATTCTCTGTCACCGCAAGGGACGACCCGGGCCAACATTGCCAACTCCCCTCAGATTTTCAGGCTTGTTTTTCAGTATGCTCTTACGGTATTCATGCTTCGTTGATTACTGCAAAATCCCTCCTAAATTATTTTGTTGTGCCTGTCAGGCCCAAATTATTCGCGATGTACTACAGTAATTTTTTCGAAGATTGAAACCGTCTAAACTCATCGGAATATGCTGATCCCGAGACTGAATTGAGTTTAAGCAGCCCATGAAACGGTTCTGAGTCAAGAATGGCGACTAGATTGGCTCCTGAGCTTGTGGTGGCAGCTGATTGAACATCTTCCATCGCACTCACGGGTCCTAGAACCGTTTGGGAAGCAGACCAAGTACTTTGTGCATTTGTTTGACGCCATTTATAATTGAGAATATACTCGGGCTTGAGCTCAAGCCGAACGGCTTGTGTCACATGCTGCAAGCCGTTTTATGGGGGTAATAGTGTCTCATAATTATTGTAATAGACACACCCATTTTCATCAAAAACACACAGCTTTCCCAATAAGAGCACTGCCTTTGCACATGCTGAAAAAAACACACAGGTTTGAGAACCATGCAAAAAGTGCACCAGCCACTAGGAACCCAACACCCCCTTCTTGAGGCCTACCTATATAGTCATGTCATTTGGGTACCCAGATGACATGACTATATAGGTAGAATTGCTTTACCCGCACTCTATGGCTTCGCCGGATTCATACGCACTTCTTCCTAGAATACCAGTCTGCAACCAACTCACATGTAGTATGCATCCAGTAAAGGACATCATGGAGCTTGACCTGATAGGGAAGCGGTATCACGCTCACAGCAAGTGGAGCGTTTTCCGTGCTGCATCTATGGAAGGCCCCGGTTCAAAGCCGGGTCAGGTCGCGTTGGCCACATCGTCTTTTCAATACTCGTAGCAGGTTTGGGAATTTTTTTCTGTTTTGAAATTCATTGCGTAACGTGTTTTGGCATGGTTAATCTTCCATCGCGACTCGTTTTGTTCTTGGAACCTCTGTCATCAAATTTATTCAACTAAGTATTTGTCTCTTTGATTTCACAATTCCATCTAGATCTATCTGCACTTCGATACGACTTGCATCCAGCCTGTCGCAGTACGCCGTCACCGTCGCCACTGGCGGGTACACTTGCTGTATTCTGGAAAAGTAAGTTTAACACCGACATGATCGCAACGCAGTGGTGATGCCTCCACTTCGAACCAGATTCTGCCAGTGCGAATATGGGAACGCCTGCGAGCCTGACTATTTTTCCACCAGGCGGGGGCGGGGGGGACGCCCTAAACGATATTGCTACGGTGTCTATGGTTGAGAGCACACCCAAGTTTACAGACAAAATATTATTTTTCTCACCAAGATCAATATGTGTGCCCATTTGCGTTTTTTTTTTAGGGCGGCCCCGACCCAGCCTGGCCGAACGTTCAGCGATTTCGCGGACGATATAGTTAATGGGGCACTGCCGCAATGAGTGTTCGTCACGCCGAATATGGTGCGTCCTTACCCACTTATCTCATAATCCGTCTTCGGATAGTGGATCCGGATGCCCCACCTTTCTTTCCCCTTTCTGGTTTTCATATCGCATACTAACGCCCGTGCACTTTCAGGTCAACGATGCGCACGACACCACCATCGACTTCGCCGCGTCCTTCCTCGAGTACTGGCTCCTCCCGCTCCTCGCTGACCCCCGCGTCAATGACGACGAAACGCTCATCCTCCTTACGTTCGACGAGACGGAGACGTATACGATTCAGAATAATAGGGGCAGTCAGAGTAGCTGATTATGCATCGTTTATGGCGCACGATTATGCAAACGATTATCGCTTTATTAAAGCGTGGGATAATCGAAAAAATCCATAATCAACCGTAATCGCATAATCGACTCTGAAGGAGTTTAAGCTTTGATTAAACGATTTTTCTCGCCGTTCATCGTCCAAAAAAGTACATAATCGAAGCATAATCGTCTCCATAATCGTGTCCATAAACGATGCATAATCGGCTACTCTGACTGCCCCTAATGTGTTTGCGGTATTTTTGGGTGCCCGTTCCTTCTTTTCTTCCAATCCGCATTACCGTTTTCGTTCTTCTGAGTTCCGCCAATTTGTATGGTGAGAATGGATGCTAATGTGCGAGTCGCAGACGGCGCCATCCCTCTCAACCTTCGCGGCACGACCGACGACACACTCTATACACATTACTCCTCTTTGAGCACCGTCCAGGCGAACTGGGGTCTAAAAAGTCTTGAAAGGCATCCCTCTTCCTTCCCAAATTCTCCTTCCTCTGTGGTGCTGCCCTTCTTTCTTCGCGCTTCTGTTCCTTCCACCGAACTACTACGTTCTTCACGCACCTCTTTCGCGCCGTGTCTTCATTCGAACGTGGATAATCGCTGATGACTGTATTCCAGTGCTGTCTCAAATGACTTCTCGCTCGTCGCCGCCAAGACCGGCTACAAGAACGTCGAAGTTCCCGCGGCCGAGGTTCCGCAATTCAACCTCACCGGCGTCGCGTCGGGTCCGCTCAGTATGTCTCCCATCCTCATGCTTCTTCGTTTCATAGCAATCCATTCGTTAACCCACACTATTTCTCTTCCCATCCGCAGCCTACGCCCAATTCGTCCCCTTCGCCGCGCCGAACCTCAAAGCCCGCGGCGCAGGTAGAGGCCCTGTCCTCAAAGCCCGGGCCTCAATACCAAGCTCACTCCTATCAACGCGTGAGGTGAGCCGCCAGTGACATGTTGTAATTAATGATATGGATTATGCCTCTTCGAGGCGGGAGCTGAACCTTTAGGGTATCCGGAGCCATCTTCCTTAATACAGGAATAGGAACCCACTTCTCAATGGGACACAAAGCGAAAACATACAACCGCATTCTTTTCAGCCTCAGTCGAACAGACGAACAAATCGTTCAAGGGGGAGGAAATAGATTCATCATTCGAAGTAATATCATTCAAGTTTGGAACGCCCCGCATACGGGGCGTGACATCTCGCGTACGACATGTCCTAAGGGGGGTCCACAACCGTACAAGCAGCTACTACATACACGGGGTGTCGATGAGGACGCAACAGGAAAGGTCGAAGGGTTTGCTTCGATCTCTCCTCGAAAGATTGGCGTACCCGTGACGGATGAGGGGCCTCGGAGGAAATTAGTACTAGACAAAGACAAGCGAAAGGTCGAGTCACACCGATTGATAGAACAGTTTCAGAGTTTGTGCCGAATCTCGAGGATACGGGTTGTCAAATGTCAAGTGATCTAGAACTCAAGTGAACAATGATTTAAGAGACAGCGGCGCGCACGAATTAGAACCAGTCCATGCCAAGTACTAGATCATGAGACAGTGAAGCAGCTACTGGAATATCCATGGTCATTAGGATGATGCCGTCGTCGTCGCAGGGAAGGTTTACAAACCAGAAGCCCGAGAGCTACATGTACGCAGCCCAGCATTCAAGATCCAAGCCAGCGGAGAATATACCAAAAGTCGATGTGTTGTGGCCCGGTAGAGCGAGCAATCAGAGTGAACGGATGCGAGCAAGGAAGGAGATCTTCGACGGACTAATGATGGGGCAAGAGCGCAAGTTTAAGAAGGAGAGATGTGATTTAGGTTCTTTGAAAGTGAGGATGGGAAAGGTGCGAAGGGGGAGAGCTAATGCGAGGCTGGTAAGAATTAGAGCCAAGTTTGAAAACCAACCGAAGCTCCGCAAGACCGCAGTCCGGTTTGCATTCTGGGGTGGTGGCAGCGCATGATAGGCTAGGACGGCGTACCAAGGTGGGAGAAATAATAGGACTAGCCCAAATTAAGGGCAGACACCGTGAATTATTGTGCAACGGATAAGGCGAACGCCATACCGTACTCGAGAGGGCACTGCTCGAAAGGATCAACAGTAGCGTTCGGGGTTGGTGCGATGGATGTATCTTACGGGATGTGGATTTACCTAATGACCGTGAGCGAGTATGGTAGGTGTAATGGGGCAAGGAGACAACGAAGGTGGAGTGAAACGATTGATGAGATGCGGTCAGGATCGACGAATAAGAGATCTAATTAGCGGCAACCAGATTAATGATGGATGTGGGAGTCAAGACGGATGACATCCGTAAGAATCATATTCTGAATGGTATTTCAGGGAGAAGGCTCGGGGGAATATTAAATTCGCAAGTGGCGCAATATCGACGGCAGGCAGGGATAAATGTGGAGAACAAGGGGGTTGGTGGAGAGAAAACAAAGGTGAACGCGCTACCGAACGGATTAATGGGAGCAGGGGAAAAGGGGGGAATAGGTAGAGATGAGAGGTAGAGGTAGAGTCAAGAATGGGAGGTGAAGGCGGGAGAGGCGGAGCATCGGAAGGGAGGAGGAGAAACTCACAGCGTACATCCGAACCCTCTTGACCCACTCTATGCCCGTCTGATAACCCAAAGACAAGGGCTAGGCTGCGGAGATTCGTCGCCCCGGACTCCTCGCCGAGTCCGAGCAAGCAGAGCAAGATGGCTCAGGCGATTCTCGGGGATGCTCCACCGAGGAACGTTTGAAGAGCTGCGGCAAGATGCAACCGGAAGAAGCCGTTTCCCTCATACTCCAAAGGGAAGATGTCCAGTCCAACAATCTGCGAGACAACGGCGAGAGGGAAAACAGCGTGGGAGCTCGGGAGATCCCGGAGCTGCACAAACATCGGCATCGTGCAACAAACACAAGCACCTCTTTCTTCTTGCCATCATCGCTCGCTTCTTGTAATTTCAGCTGCTGTAGGATTCACCCTGTCTGCGATGTCTCTGGTGCTTACAATGGCGTGCGCATCACTGGCCCGTATCTGGATTCTGAATGCTCCTCTGCCAATCGAAAATTCTTCCATTTGGTATTTTTTGTCTTGGCGCTCTGGGAGGCTCGCGTCATGGAACTGAGCTTACCATATATCTCCTCCGAATCTCATCCAGTATTTTCTATCTTATGAACTAGGTCAAGTTCCCCTGCCATGACGAAACAGTTGCGTAGTATACCTGCGACGCTCCTGTATCTAAATCGGTTTCTGTGAAGATCCTAGCTCACTTCAGTTCTGGCTTTCCTGCTATAGCGTGATCTAGCTCAACAAATGATGCTGCTTAGTCTTTCTCGCGAATATTCTACGCGTCTCGTCCCTTCACATACCACTGCGCCACTCCATTTGTGTTTGATGGTCGCAAGTTTGATGGCGAGAACAACACGATCCTTATCTCAGTTGAGATGTCTCCTCGGGCTCAATTAGTTGGTACACTCAGACGCCAACAACTTCACATTTGTTCCATTGCCCCAACCCCACCTCAGTCATGAAACTGTCCAATCGTTTGGCCGCTATTGCAGCTTCTTACAAAGGCTGTGGCTAATACTACACGACAGAGCTCGCACGATGCTTGGTTTGCGCAATAATCTATGTGCGGCCAACAGCAACACTAGCAGCGCGTTCGGCGCCGTCTGTCTAGGACAGCGCACCCTGCGCAGACGCAATTTTAGCAAGTTCAAATTATCCACTACCCGTCATAATCATTCCCAGATCCCTCCAGTTCTCCATTTTGGGGCTCTACATTGGATTCCTCAATTTCCAGAAGCTTCATCCAGAGCTCCTCGTGAATGTATGCCGTACAAAGTCGCCATACAACGGGTTTTGTAATCTTTCCACCAAAATGCAGGGAGAAAGGACACGAGAGCCAATTGGGGAAACGTGCTGGAGCAGATGGTTGAAGTTTTTGTGATTGATGACTATAGTGATGCTATCATAGCCCTTAATTAAGACTTAGGAATATTTTTCCCTCTTCTTAAGCCTTAATATTATAGGCCTCTTAACCTTTAAATCATCCTAACCCTTAGGCCTTAGGGATAATATTGAAAAAAAAAAGAGCACGTCCCTGTCT